TGATACGGGCTAACTCAAATGAACCATCATTCCTAGTTTCCTATTCAGCCGTCATCTCTTTAACTCTTCCATTTTTCTAACTCCATATAGTTATTTTGTTCTACTATCTCTTAAACTCTCTAACTCCTAAAAATATCCTGTGTGATTCTCAGATTTTTGATAGTCAATACAACCTAAGTTGAAGTCGCATCTGAATTTTTTAAACAATGATAAAATGCATATACGAAGGTTGAGTTCTTTAAGGAGTTGTCTTGTGCGTTCCGTTTTAGCTCGATTCATTTTCAAGAAAACATGTGTCCTTGAGCTTTCATTTGAACCAAGGACTGTGTTCTTGCAATGGGTTTCTTGAGAAAGTTTTACTTAATGATAAAACCCATAAGAACTTGTGCCTTCATGTTTTTTCAAGAATTACTGTTGCATCTTGAGTTTTAGTTCAAAATAAATTATGGCATCTTGAATTAGGATTTTTTAGAATGTTTTAGTTGATGATAAAATACATATATGGAAGGTCGAGTTCTTTCAAGGAATCAGACTTGTGGGTTCTATTTTGACTCAATTTTTTTCCAAGAAATGTTGTGTTTTGAGTTTTTTTTTTTTAAATTAAAGATTTTTTTCTTTCATTAGCTTTCTTCAGAAAATTAAACTTCACGATAAAAACTATAAGAACTTGTGGGTTCATGTTAGCTTAATTTTTTTTCCAATAAATATTGAGTTTTATTTTAAAACGAATATTGCCTTCTTGAATCGGGATTTTTAAAAAAGTTTTACTTGATAAAAATCGAAAAGAACTTGATGAAGGTTTTAAAGATATGCAATTACTAATTGCAACTAGTTTTCAGTTTAAACTAAAATTAATGTATAAGAAATTCTTGAAAACTCAATAGAGATATTCTTTAAGTTTCTACACATCTCAAGAACGATCTAGAACAAGGCAAATGAAAAACAAAAATAATGAATTTCATATGTAGTAGGTAAATTTGCAAATTTTGAAAAAGAAAAACACATTACTTTCTTTCAGAACAAGTAGTTTTCAAGAAATGCATATGTAGCTTTTTTGGATTTTGAAGGGAAAGAATTGATGCTTTCTTAGCATTTGATAGAATATAGTTTTGTTCTGTCAATCTTTAAACTTGATTGTGCTAAAAAAAATCGATTATTTAATTTCTTATTTTTTTTAAAATTCAAAAAGTAACAAAATTTATTTTTTAAACCTGCTTGTACTATGAAAGCAATTTTTTCAACTTTTTCAAAAATACTAGTAGATTAAAAGTTATTGCTTTCAATTCTTTATTTACCTTGCTATATGCTCCATTCTATTTCCTGAGTTCTCTTAAAGTAATCGTAAATCACACAAGTCAACAATGTAGAGTTTCATCTTTTATTTTTTTTGAAATATAGAAATCTTTGAAATATATTATATTTAAAATTTTTCTTTCATCTTTAAATTCAACAAAGCTGAAAAACACTGCAGTTTGTTTTCAGTTTTCTTAAAATCTAATACTCTATTATCCATGAAGTCTAATAAAAAATAAAATAAATGTAGTAAAACTATGTATGATTTGATTCGCAAAAAGAATGTACGTAGGCAACTTAAAGTACTACTCCGAGTGCAGTCAATTTTAAGCATTTTAATTTTTGTTAAACTTTATGGATAAGACAAAACTATGTATGACTTGATCTTCTTACACTGTTTGATTCACGACGAGACAAACTTTTCTTTTCTTTGCTTTGCTTTTCTTTACTTCATTCTTTTGTTCTTTCTTTGTTTCATTATTTGCATGATGTATTTTTTATGGTAATTATATGCTAATCCTATATAATCTCTTTGCGTTAGAGGTAAAATATGAACTTTGGTAGAAGAGTCTCTCTTTCTTTCTTATTTTCTTTGTTTCTTTCTTTTAATTAAATTTGCAGTGATAGATGAGATTGTTTGCGCAATATCAGAATTTGCATGAGTGGTTGGTTAGTGGGAAAGAAGTATATGAAGTACCTATGATCATTTATACCATATTGATGTGGCTTTTGATAGTTTGGCATAATTTTTATTGAGGAGATGTAAGAATTCATTTTCATTTTCACAGTTATTTAATGATGCATTTGTTATTATATACTACATAACCTGTATATATTTATAAATATTGCAGTACTCACTGAAAGCGACTGAAATATTTTAGAGGTAGAATTCATTTTTGAACAATACATTTTTTATTCGTTTTGTATATAACATATGTATTTGTCCTAAGTTATGCTACATTCACTGACAGTGACTAATGCATTAAAGGTTAAAGGTAAAATCTGTTTTTTGAGAGAAATTTTTTTTTTCTTTTGCCTTATTTATTTGTTTCATACCAAAATTTTCTTGAGGCATAAGTCATGAATTTCTAAAATTTATAAAGAAGATAAACAATTCTAAAATAATTTTGCTCGTTTGTCTTCAATTGTATGTTTTCTCCTTAATGCTTCTTTTTTTGTTTGTTTTTCTTAACTGGAATTAAACCTTTCATATTAACTTAATAACTCAAATTGCATCATTAGTAGAAAAACAAATTTATGTTATTAATTAAAATTAATATATTATTTAATTTTATTCAACACTAATGACATGTTTAAGATTATTAAACTATGTTCACGTGAACAATAATGTGAGAATGTAGATATCAATTTTTGAAATAATATATTTTTTAAAAAAATCTTTGTACTAATTAAAATAAAATATATATTTTAAAATTTTTTTCAAATAAATATTTATTATTAATGATTTATATGACTCAATTTAATGGATATTCACATAGACAATAATATTATCACGTAAATATTAAATTTTAATCAATTAGTCAAAATAATAAACATCTAATACGATAACCAATTACTTTTATATGAAATTTAATTTAAAATAATATAATAATAATATTAAAAATATACATATATATGATATCTACTATATTATTTAGATAATTATTATTTTAAAGTAGAGGTAATGAAACATTAACGTAACAATTATTTATTTATACTTTTATATTAACTAAGTTGTGAATTAAATATACATATGTATGATATCTAGTTAAAATTTTATAGATAAGAAAACATTAACTTAAGAATTATTTATTTATATTTTCATATTAACTAAGTTGTAATTAAATATAAACAATAATATAATAATGCTAAAACATATGTTTATATATATATGATGTCTACTATATTATTAGATCATCAAAATTTTAAAAGTATAAGGAAACATTAATGTAACAATTATCTATAGAATAAGATAAATTATAAATGCAAATTATAAAATTTAATTTATAAGAATTAGATTTTTAAATAAAATATTGTAAAAATATTATCCTATTTTATTTTATAAATAGTACCTTATTAGTAACATATTAATTATTGGTTAAAAAAATTTAATAATTATATAAATATTTCAAGTAACTACATTTTATTATATCATCAGATACGTGATACACTGGGCCGTGCAGCCCGCAATCGTCAAGTCCGGAGTCATAAAACCCTACTCAGAGAATTTCTGGTGATCTTACAAACCCTAGGTGATACTTTTTGATGGCAAGAACCTCTTCTTCTCTTTTCCCCTAAAGAAAGGAGCAGCCTCTTCTCTCAAAACGCCAATCTCGCGACACTGACAATGGTAAGCTGATTTCTTCTCCCTCTCTCAGTCTATTGAATATCTGTATCTGGAGACAACGATTGATGCTGTTCGTGCTGTCTAGGGTTTCTATTTTCTTGCGTGGATTTCAACATTTTAGATTAGAGTTTCAGTTTCTTCCGAGTGTCTTTATTTACGAGTTGTTTTTGTCTCTGAATGACTTTTAAAATGCCTCTGATCGCTTTTTATTGTCTTAAATGGATACCATTAATTTTCTTCAAACAATGTTTTGTTTTTTGGGGCTTTGTCGTGCTTATCTGTTGCTTGATTAGAAATTGTACTAGTATTTAGATTTTCTTTCTATACTTTCTGGTTAAGATCTCGTCATTCTAAATGCTTGTACTTGAGTGATTTTTGAATCTGTGCACGCGCAGTCTCTTGTGGCGAACGAGGATTTTCAGCACATATTGCGTGTGCTGAACACAAATGTTGACGGGAAGCAGAAGATAATGTTTGCTCTGACTTCGATCAAAGGTGTCGGTAGGCGATTTGCTAACATCGTCTGCAAGAAGGCTGATGTTGACATGAACAAGAGGTTTGTTTGCTTTGTTGTTGCCTTTAGCATGTTTATGATTGTCGGGTTGTGATCAAACCCTCACAGAAGAAAATAAAATAAGAAAGATGGGTATGTATAAGAATGAATCTATTAAGGCAAAAATTAGATTAACTCTATATTTTTCTTTCATTTATATTTTGTGTTAGCTCATCTGCTTGTTAGATGGAAACAGAAGATCTTCTCCTCGAACTTCTTTTGTTAGCTTGCACGATATCTTATGATTCCTTTTTTCATTTATCTCATGTTCATGGTTAATTTTAAGTGGGATTTGAGTTTTTATCTTGATGTAAGATTTAGCTCCATGAGTTTTTTACCTTTTTTTTCTTGTCTTGGCTGGTCAAAGTTGACTGCTATGTAAGACTGGTTTGCTCCAAATGGAGTCTGTGCCCTCTAACAAATGTGCATTGTTAGTTAAAGTGAGACGTAGTATGCTCAATAAGTATGATTGCTTGCATCCACCACCTTCATACCGTTCCTTGTTCCTTTTCTCCAGAGCTGGCGAGTTAACTGCTGCTGAGCTTGACAATCTCATGGTTATTGTAGCAAATCCACGTCAGTTCAAAATCCCAGATTGGTTTCTGAACAGACAGAAGGATTACAAGGATGGAAAGTTTTCTCAAGTTGTCTCTAATGCTCTGGACATGAAGTTGAGAGATGATTTGGAGCGCTTGAAGAAGATCAGGTAATTTCTTGTCCAGTATATCCTATAGAATTTGAGTATCAATGGTTCTCCTCGGTGCAATTGTCAGGATCTAATAACTCAGATAATTGAGTAATTTATTCGTTTATTCAAAAATATGGACGAAGTAATCAATTTGGAATTTCATATTTTCATCTCTGCAAACTTAACCAGTAGCAATTCCAGTGGGTTCTTGAGGTGTGGGGCTGAGTGGTACTTTTATGGCCACAGCAATTTTTCTACATTTTGATAAGATCACTGCACTATATAACAATTTAGTGGTCACGGCGATTTGACCGTTTGACCGCATGGCAATTGGCAAGGTCTATGAAATGTTTATGTATTGTTTCACGAGTCTCACGTCGTGTCTTAGAATTTATTATATTGTGAAAGTGCTTTTTGTGAAGTAATTTGGGATCATTGGTTCCTAATTTTTGTATATTTGTCTATTTGATCTCATTTGGCTACTGTTGATTCTTTGTGGTTATGTTTCGAGCTTAATCTTACTTTTTTGTGCAGGAACCACCGCGGTCTGAGGCACTACTGGGGTCTCCGAGTCCGTGGTCAGCACACTAAGACAACCGGTAGAAGGGGAAAGACTGTTGGTGTCTCCAAGAAGCGTTGAGTCCTTCATTACTGTTCTTTAGCGAGGACATCTACATGAATTGGCAGAGTTAACTACATTAAAATGCTCCTTTTTGGCTACTGGAAATTGTACTTAAATTCTGATGTGATTCTCCCGATTTATTTTATTGTCCCTTTGAAAACTTTCATGTTCTCGTGGAACTATTTACTGTTCTTACATGGTTTTAGCAGATTTGCTAGTGTTTTTCCTGATTGACCCATCTTATGCAAGACTATGGTTGGTTAAAAGTTAAAATTAAATCTGGAGCTCCTATCCTGCACAAACCAAGTCTGGAACATTCATCTCATTATTTTTTCCTTAAAACCCACAGATGAATGTGTTAGAGGCAATCCAAGAGAGAAGCTGGATATTTCGGGAGATCACATGTTTCTTCTTTGGTGGTGTTACCTTAATATAAATAATAATGTATATGGAGTTTTCTAGGCCAACCTAAATGCATCAGTTGCCTTGGCATTAACAAGATTAAGCCCATCTCCTGTAAGTATTTACTCCGCGTGCAAGGGGCTGGGAGCTGTGAGCAAACGTCTTGCCAACGAAGTCTTCAAGACTGATATGTTCATGGATAAAGCCACCAACTTTCACTCTTCTAGTTTGGATGCAGTTAAGTCATATCCCTACTGGTACTTTCTATGCTATATGTGCCTAAAATGGTCATGAATTCCTTGTAGTTACTCTAAACCTTGGCGAGCATTATGGTTGAAAAAACCGTTCCTGTAAAAATATTATTATGATGATGATGTAACTAGATGCATACATAAAGATTTGAAGCCATAAAATATTATCCCTTGAGCAAATTTCAAGGCACCCATACTAAAGAAGACACTTACTACTAGAGAATTTTTTTTCTAAACCGTACAAATGTTTCACCATCATAAAGAACATGTACCTTGGATTCAATAGGAAATCCACAGGTAGAATAGGAGGCATCATCCCTGCAAATGTCCATTGAATCATAAAGTTCAGTAAATGGAAATTTATACCTACTTCATACCCATTCAGAGTTTATAACTTTCCACTATACTCATCTATATCTCATTAGTTACAGGTTTCCGCCTATCTCATTAAGAATATATTAGAGCAGGTTATCAAATCACTCAGTTTCATCGCTCATCTCTAAGTGCATACATTGGTTTTGTTTCCTTCTTTTTGGGCTTTCCCTTGTTATAATGCTTTTTTAATCAATCAATCCACTATCATTCCCACGGAAAAGAAAAAATGCTGTCAAGTTGAAATTGAGAGTCAACTAACAATGAATATTCTTCAACCTGTCTATAGGAAAAAAGGATATTGATAAACAGATTGTTTCACCCAAAATAATTACTATAAATTATATTCCTGAAGCAAAGCAGGAAAATTTGCAGGGAACCTAACGTCATCCCAAAAAATATCCTTTTTTTAAGAGATTGAATACAAAAAAAAAACAAGAATAAGGATTACATAATCAGGAAAAAATAATTTGAATCAAATGCTCTCTACCCTCTAATCTTAGATGACTAATAAGTTTCTGAAAATCACAGCTAACCTCGTATGCTTATCCTACATGAATCTAGACTTTTCCATCAAGCTCAGTGGATTCTGACAAACTACCGTGTTTCTGTTGCCTGTTTGTTGGGAGTGAATAGCTACGACGCTCTTTCCCACCAGGCTTAGACGAAGCATTGCCATACCAAATCATTCCGACTACAGCAATTATCATACCCAGAACTACCTGTAGATTGAGGCCCTCTTTTCCAAAGAAGAAAAACCCCATAATCAATACGAGGATTGTCTTCATGTGTCCAAGCACTTGAAATGACACTGCAGTAAATCTGCCAATGCAGATGAATTGGCTGAGATTGGTTCCTACTGCAATAGTGCATGAAAGAATTATAAATATCTGCAGAGACCAAGTAGAACAGATTTTATCAGTAAAAAGTTTTGTAATACAGAGGCCATATATTTTACATTAATGTACACTAGTAAATGATTTGCGTGATATGATTTGTGTGCATGGACCGGCAGATACATGAAACAAATGTGTCTCTACATACATTACGAATGAATATAATGCAGTTAGCAGCAGCTGGTTGTTAGGCGTTGAATGAAATATAAAAGTCACCAAGCAGGGAATTTAAAAATCAGAAACTTGAAGAAAATAAAACGAAATATAAGATATGATTTTACTATGTAGGACAAAGCATGAAAATAGGGGAGCTGGTGTAGCATATGTCATTAGTGCAAGTGCTACACTTGTGCCGAAGACAATTCTTGACTATAATAATTTATTGACAAGATGTGTTATTTTGCATAACAATTTATAATGAAATGATCCAAAAAGAGTAGTTAAAGAATCCAAAACACAAGATTCGGTTCCAGTACTTACTACAGAAGTCACGTTATAGCCATAGGAATCAACTCTTTTGTTTGTCAACCAGTAATCAAGAAATGGGCCTATTAACAGCAGTGATGCAGCCTGGCCAGGGGCAGTATGTCCCAACAGGTTGAAAGAACTAAGAGAATATTTCCGCTGAAGATAATGTACATACTGCAAATAAAAGATTTAACATGATGTCAGGCAAAAAATTTTAATCTGCATGACAAGAATAAGATACAAATTTGAAACCTAGGTGGTAGTGGTCATTTATTTACTTCAACTGCACAAAACGTTACTATTATTTTCCGCTAAGTAAAATTTCAAGAAATTCCTCGAACTTAACTGCAGAAAATTAAACAACTTACATATTGTTGCAAAGAAGTACTCCATACTGCAACAAATGCAGCTATGAAACCTCTGGTATTTACACTCACATCAGTAACAGTGCAAACACTGACTCCCACAAGAACCACTGCTATGCTTAACTTTGTGTCTCTGGAGTAACGAATTTTATCAAACATCACTTCTAACAAGCAGGATACGGGGATCATACTGAGTTTTGCAATCTGGTAATACAAGTGCCAATAGGTAATTCCCAGAGCCATTTAAATACAAAAGTAACAAAAACTATGAGTGTACAACAATTTACCTGATAAAATCCAACTGAGTTCCACATAAGACTAACATTCATTCCAACAATCGAGAAGTTCGCAAATAGCACAAACTTAAGAAGCTCAAAGAGGGGAAGATGTGAAGCCTGGATGTATCCCAGCCACCTTAGAACAGCAGTCATCAACGTTGTGGTAGCAAAATGCAACCCAGTTAATGTTGTAGCTGCAACAAGTTGTAATTAAATCACAACATGATTTAAGAGAAAAGACAGCAGTTGTACTTATGCAAATGGAGTAGAATAGATTGTGAAATGATGGATCATAGTAGAAAAAAAAACTAGAATTCCATCTAATCATCATTTTAGCTACTTTGAGTTTACCCATGGGAGCAAAAAAATATTCTGTTCTGAGAAAAGATTATAGTAAATAGTCACAAATTCTATGCTTTTCCACAGTTGGATAAAATTTAAACCTATCAGACAACTTGAACTAAGCCCTCAAGGTCTAAACTGATTAACCATTTAATCTCCCAAAACAACTAAACTGATTAACCATTTAATCTCCCAAAACAATCCATCTACTTTTTGTTCCACTCCTTGATAAAAAAATCAATTCATAAATTTCCTTGCTTTTTGCCCCTTAAAAAGTGTGAATAAGTGCCCTCCTTAGACATTACCATAGTACTTCTTATTGAAATTAAAGGTTCATATTGAATCATAGCTAATCACTTACATGAAAATCCATGGCTGCAGTCCCACCAATATAAAAAAAAAGGAAAAGAATAACAAACACATTCCCTAACCTCAATGGCTGAAAACAAAAACTACTAACGCATACAGATTCAAACACATGATCTTCATGTTCGAAGCATGAAATGCATTGCCAGTTGACCTACCACTCAGGTGGTCAATTTTCTCACTTATGCATGCACCATTTTTCATGGGACTCTTAAGTAATTTATCCAGTTTTCTTTTCTTCCAGGGAAAAAAAAGTAATCTGTCCACTTTTTTACCTCGCTCCAGTTTGGAATCTCTATCTAGGAGGAATCTTATAAGGAAAGTTGTAGAACAAGTTTAATTTGCAGAAGACATGTAAAATAAATTCAGCTTCTTTCACAGGTGTGTTTGCATAAATTGAGTTTATAGACATAATTAGTTCACAATGCACTGACCAACACTTCATCAACATTGTTGAAGCTATATTGCATGTACTCTATTTTCCCAACCTTTAAGTGAGAAATTTGCAGTGGGGCATCTGTCTAATAAAAAAATTTATCTTTGGCCATAAGCAACAAATTCAATGCATCTATTTAAGCAGAAGAAGAAATAGATTCCTCTAAAAATTTTACGAAATGATTGGTATATGGCCAAGAACACGCAATCAGGAATTACTATTTATAGAGAAGTGATGACATACAGGTATGCTTGAAACAAACTGAACATTAATTTACCAAAACTGAAGCCATATGTAGCCATTAAGGCCTTATTGACAATGATAATCCCCACAGAAGTGACAACATTGAACATCCAAGCAGCTGCATCTACTGCTGCTTTCTTATCAGCCTTACTAACTGGAGCCATTTTGATATATTTTACTTGCAATCAATAAGCCTTCAACTGTTTATCCTTCTAACTCCATGAAGTCATCCATCTGCAACAGGACTGAATCCAAATGAAACAAACTTGATGAAATTGCAATTTGTTGGCGCTTACAGCAAAAGAAAATTATTAAATAGAAACTAGAACATCTTGAACATTCTACATATATTAAAAACAATCTACTGCCTGTCAAATATGCAATAACTAAACGTGAAAATTATAACTTCCCGCTGATATGATGTTTCTATAAAACCTTCGAAAAACTCACAATTAATACGCACTACGGATATAGCAGGTAACTAAACTTATAAGCTGTTACTCCGACATGTCACCATGTATAAACATAGAATTTGAACTGCATTAGCTCTCTTCTGACCAGATAACTAAGAGATTGTTTTCCAAAAAGATCTCTATGGCCGAATGCCATCAACTTACTTTCAGACTCTACTGCTTCTTGACAAGCATGATCTTCTGCTCACAAATGGCTCAAATTTAAAAAGGTTCAGTAAAAAGGAGGCAAAACGAATGAAATAACTCACTAGATTCTGATCCATGATGCCACCTAAACCTAAATTCAATCTCACGATTAAAAGACATGTAACGAGGACAAGGAAACAGGATCAATCACACACAATAGATCCGTGAAACGTCAGATCGATCTAGCTCTGGCGATCACAAAATCAAACAGTTGCCAATCAGATCTACATGCCAAACACGGAAACCACACCTTTTTATAACAGAGGCGGAATCAATTCATGGACTAGAAACAGATCTATCGCGTGATCTCGTTAATCTTTACATCCACGAGTTGAAACTGAATAAATTAGAATGTGTACGGGTTGGAAAGGTACGTACCATGGACAGGAGAGGAGAAAGCGAGAGACGGAGAAGGAGAAATGGCGAGGAACTGAGCCGAAACGGTACGGTTACAGCGTCGTTTTTGTTGGAGAGTTTGGAGGTGGTGGTGGTCGTGGTGGTGGTTTTGCAGTGGATGCGCTACTTATTAGTTGTGTGTTCGCATCCTCAAGAATTGGAGAGAAATTGGAAATCAGTTGGGAAACGAAGGCCTCGTGGATTAGTAAGCATCACGCGGACGTTAACCTCATGCGCCTCACTCTTTTTAATAAACCAACAAATTTATTAGTTTATAAAGATAAATTTCTACAGTTTTACTGAAATGTAATTAATTTTTTTTGGATTAAAATTATAATTTATATTTAATAAAGAAATTAAATGTAATTAAAAAATTTAAATTTATTTTAATTATAAGAATAATTTTTTTAAAAAAAAATTTAATATTGTTTAAATAATTATAGTAGTTAATTATTTATTGTTGTACAATTTTCTTACAATTATAATATTGAAAATAAATTTTATAATAATGCAATTATATTTTATATCAAAATATTTATTTACAATAAATTTTATTAATACAATATAATTAATTTTTTGAAAAATTATTTTTAGAACACTTTAGGCAAGTTTTTGAATATAAACTTTATGAAAGTTATTTGTATTAAAAATTATTAAGTTAGTCATCAAATTTTAATATTTATTATAATTTATTAGATATTTTCTTTATTACAATTTAATCTTTTAATATTTTTTTATTTTTTTATTGAAAAAGTTAAAAGAGGTGGATTATATTTGAATATCTTAAAAAACTGTTTAAAAAAATTTGACTAATTACTCAATCATTTAATATAAATTTATTATTTTAAATATAACTTAATTATTTTAATTTTTCTGTTAAAAAATATAAAAAAAATATTTTAAACAAACAAAAAATATTAAAAATTAAATTATAATAAAAAAATTAAGAACTAAATTACAATAAAAATAAAAAAATGAATTATAATAAATACAAAATTTAAGTATTAATTTAATAAGTTTTCTCAAAATAAAAGATAAAATAAGTGTGAAGCCGAAGCGACAGCGAACCGCTGCAAAACCGAACCGGGCCGCTTATTCAAGCACAACTATCTAATGTATATCCTCCCGCGGATGAGAGAATGAGCTATCGTCGTCCTTTCCAAACACTATTAGTGGCTCCACCGCACCATATGTAATCTACAAAATAAGTTATTTAAGTAATAAGCCCACCGTTTTTCTTCTCTCTTGGACCATTTTTTTCAATTATCAATCACCCAACTAGCGTTCTCAATCCTTGATTGACGGAATCCTAGTTGGGTTGGGGAATCGGGAGGCGCCGGAGTAAAACGGCGGGCTGGAACAGGGATGGGGAAGAAGAGAAAGTCGATTGATTCGAGCCTGGACGAGGTGGATCGGACCATGTACGCGTCGTTTTGTAGCGCAGCGAACTCCCTCTCTCAGCTCTACACCCAGGCCATGAACCACCAGAAACCCTCATTTCAAGCCGGCGAACGCCACGGCCTTGTACGGATTCCTCTATTAAGTCTTGATTTCGATTAGTCATATACTTTGTTTGTCTGTGTCCGTTGTATCTGCTTGCATGTGTTTGATTTTGTTGGAGAATTATGATTTTGATCCATGTAGAACGGTTCTTTTCCCCTGTCTTTCTGGCTTCGGAAATGTGCGGGAAGGTGATCACCTCTACAATGCCTGATTTATTTGATAGGATATCGCACTGATATTTTTTTATGCGCTTCATTCGCCCTATGTCCCTTTTTTGTTAATTATGGTGGGTTTTTATTCTGAACTATGTATATGTGTTCAGTGCAATTGAATTATCAGTTTCTTTTGGTGATACGGAAGGACGGTGTTTTGCCTGACTGTTTTCTCATTACCCGGGATGATTGTGATTTTCTACTTTGAATGAGATGGCAGGATTGGCACTGATGAGGATTTCAACTGTGTTGTTGTTAAGGCACATTGAACTTAGGTGATTTATGCTGCTTCTTAGGTAGGGACAGTGGCAATTGTTGAACCAGATTTGCAGGAGAATTTGAAAGGTCGAAAAGGATATTTGCTCAAGCTTCATTGGCTTGCACTAGGCAAGGAGATGATGACAAATCTGCTCTGATGTTTTGATATTAAGTGAGTGAGAGAGTACAAAAGGTTTAGTTAATACCATATCTTTGTGCATGCGGAATCAGTTAACTAAAACATAGATGAAAAATCAAGTTCATAAGGGCAGATTCAAAGTGTTTCTATACTTCTTGGTAGACAAAATAAAAAAAAAAACAGAAGTTCTGGTAAATCAAATTAATTGAGCAAACAGCAAAAGTGGAATTTGTTTTATCATCTTAGAACCTTCAAATTTTATCAAATTCTTTGTGCATTGAGAACATTTGGCATTCATGGTGGTTGGCTTAGGTTTGTGTTAAATGGAGCATGCATGGACATTGATAATTCAATTAGATAGGCGCAACATCCTAATTGTTCAGGCATGAGTTAGTGTTGCAATAAGTAAATTAAATTTCCTTTCAGAAATAAGAGATAGATGTACTAGCTTGAAGTGAATTTGTAATAGGTATCTCATGGTTTGTACGATTCATAAAAATGCTTATAGCAGTAGATTCAGGAAATCTGGTTCATTGAATTTCCTCTATCTCAGGCCTGCCTTCTATGCAATCTAATATTAATGTATTGAAACAGTTGAAAGTCCTCAATCTTCTGGTCATAGCAGAATTCGTATTAGCCACCATCTCTGAACTCCAAGTGGGTAGTCAAATCAAAATCAATTATAACAAGCTTAGGTGGCTGCCTTCTAAGTTGGACCTTCTTCTTTCATCTCCAACTATTCCTGTACAGTGTTTGAATGCTGTACTTGGTCCTTTTGGTTAGACAATTCCTACTGCATCAAGTTCCATATAACCACATATTTTAAGATCTTTTCAACTTCCACAAATTGATTTCAAACTAATTTCAGGCATTTTGTTTTTCATTATTATTCTTTGAAAAAGAGCTTCTTGTGGGTGAATTTCTGGCAAAGCTTGTGATTTTGCCTTGGTGTTTTGTTTCAGGAAAGAAGGGGTCTATTTTCTAAATATGCAAAGAAATTGAAAATTACTACCAAAGCGCACGTTTTAGAAAAAAATCTCAATATATGCATCTTTTTGCCACTTCAAGACAGGGTTTGGTCAAAGTTATTGCTGATTGACAGAATAAACAACAGTCAATTTGTCAGTGCTTGATTCCGTAGTCTTTAAACCTACATGCAAAATACTACCTTCCTGTGTTGGCATGCACTGGCACTGTGATGGCTAATTTATTATGAATGCTGTGAAAAACTGATGTTGTCATTGACAAGCAGTCAACAACCACCCTATTGATCCCTTACTAACTTGACTGAGTTTTTGCTGAAGTAGCAAAAAATGCATATCTTGCCTTTTTTTTAAAGATGCATGTTTGAGAAATTTCGTTTTTCCTCAGTTTAGAAAATAATCAGATGCAGAGTTGAGCCTTAAAATACTATTATCTTCTTGTCCTAGGACTTCTTAGGATTTAAAATTATTTAAATATTTTAGTAAGTGGTTGGAAACTAAATTTATGCATGTTATTATTTTTAGAGGACTTGGTTGTGTATAGAACTCAAACAAGATTTATATTATCACCTTTGTGTTCAATTAAGAAGAAGATGATGTAACTTGTTCTGGCTTAGGGACTACAGATATATGAAGTGTTACCGTGTTATATGTTGGTGAAATTCTAAGAGAAGCTATATTTCTTGGAGCATGCTTAGAAATCTTCATGATCAACTTGCAACTTTTTGTCTGAATATAGAGATGGTTTATGCAAAAAAAATTATAGGGGTGGAATTGTGTTTAGTCACTTCTACAACTGGAAACTTGTGGATAACCTTTCTCTTCCTGACCATTTCCTTCATCCTGGAATCAAGAATTGTTCTACCCTTTAATCTTGTTGGGTTTGATTGATTAACTTATTCACAATACTAATTTGCATTACTCAATGGTAAAATTGAAGAAAACATATATATGATATAGCCGGAAGATTTCACATCCAAAGCCTTTAAAAAGGATCTATAAGCTGCAAAGGTCCATTTATGAATTGAAGGAGGCCTCTCTCAGTATATCCATTTGATGAGAGCCAAATGAGTTATGATTTCATGAAAAAAGAGAATGAGACCTGGGTTTACAAGAAGGTGAATGGGGGAATGGGGGAATGGTGGTATTCCTTTTACTATACATGGATAACATCAAACTCATTAGGAATGATGTAAGGATGTTGTAGTCAGTTGAAGTTTGACCACACAAAAACTTCTCCATGGTAATCAAGCTATGTATTTGGGTTGTGGATCTATAAACATAGATCAAAATAGGTTTTTTGGCTTAGGTCAATTAAGTACACAGAACCCGAGCTATAGAGATTTAATTTAGAGAACTCCAAAAGAGGAAATTAACGATTTGCATTAGGGTTAATCTCTCCAATTAAGATGTCTTGCATACTTCAGAGGAGAGAGCATATGAGTAAGATTCCCTTTTTCTCGATAATAGGGCCCAATCATTGACTCCATGCTATATACCAGGCCTAATGCTAACCTATGCCCCTAGGTGTCACACGCAATTTTAAGGCAAATTCAATTAAGAGTTCACAAGAGGGCTATGATAAACATCTAAAGTAGTTTTGAAGCATGAAGGATCTTTTTCTAATTCATGGAAAAATGATTGACTTAAAAGCTTGAGGATTTCATGTATCCTAGCTTTAAATCAAATCCAGATGATAGTAAAATTGTTTTGGGGTTTGCCCTAAAACAATCCAATAACGATTGGAAGAGTTTCAAAGAAGAGATAACTATTGTTACGGCCATAAAAGTTGAATACATCAATGCAAGAAAGGATATAAAGGATTTTGTATGTGTCTAGATGTTCAGTACTTTGGGAAAGGTTCCTAGCATAGCACATCCTATGGATTTTGCTTTTTGTTATAGCAACAGCACAAAAAAGAACTAAGGTCTCATCAAGATCGAAGCACATCTTATGACTCTTATGTTTGATATGTGAAATTAATGAAAGAAAACATATTTAACATTGGTGCAATGACAACATAATGACCTAGTCACTATAGGCTTTAAGAAAAGGTGTTCAATCATAACAAGAGCAGCATGGGTATGCTTTGCAATGGGTGATTGGTTGTATTGCGAGTAGAAGATTGTTAGAAATATACCCTTAAGTAAATCATAAAAGGATGTGATAGGTTTATAGTTAGATAATAATCTTATTCTTTGATAAAAAATAGCAATAAAAAGACATTTCGTTTTATTGTGAGCTGCTTCTTTTGTATGAATGCACTTAATTGTTGCATTCTAACATGATAAAAGTCTCTAATGCACAGAAAGAAACTAGAGTTGTGATAGAGATCACAATAATGTACGTCTTATTTCTTAGTGTTCAAAATGTTTCAAATAGTAGAATACAAAATGGGATAGTTGCAATCCAGTTCATTTAGATATGAACTATGCATATTGGTATGTTGCTTTGTTTGTGCATAGCATCTATTGAAATTAATTGTTAATGCTTTTTGATTGAACCTTCTAGTTCTAAGCTTTTGTCTCTCCAGACATGTGCTACCCAGCTAGGTTAAGGTGATAGACAAGTCTATGAGGTCGTGCCATTTGTGCATTCTTATTTGACTGGCTCTGATCTGTTCGATCTCTTGCTTTCAGGAAAAACTTTATCAATGGATTTGGAGGCAACAAGAAGGAGGATCAAGAGTAACAACAACGGACATAGTTAATTACATTCAGGTTTATTTTTTATTATTCTCCTTTTGTATGAATTTTAATTTTCTTTGTATATATGATTTTTGTAGTTTTGCCTTTGATAATTTCGTGCACCAGCTCTTCCCTGTAAGATTCCAGCCTAAAGAAGAAACTTTGGTCTCTGGATCATTAGGGAAATAGTATAAGAAAGTTGGAATACTAGATTTTTTAAGGCCTCCAGTGTTTGCATAAAACACAAATTAGTCTTCATCATCGCTCTCTTTATTGTCTGACTAGACTTCATTTTTATCTTGTTGGGTCCTGTTTATGATTGATACCTGAATCATTTGTTCAAAATCTCTGATTAACAATAGGAAAAAGCTGGTGAAAGATGCTGTCATAGACATGCATAAAATGCAAGGAGGTAGTCATCTTAATTGACAGTGGGGTCCTAATTGGCACGCACTTGTAAAATGTGTTGCTTGGGTATAATCAATACACCTAAAAGTACTCAAATAATACATTTTGAACAGGCTAATGATCTTTATATTTATAAGTGATATCGTGTTCAGCTGCAAATCTCTATTTTTCTTTGTCAAATAATAAGCCATTTTATTATAAGAAATGTCTCAGATTTTTTTTTATTTTGTTGCAGAATGAGGTAGATTATTGTGGAGAGGAGCCATCGATGTCCTCTAGGGCACCAGTTCAATATCAGCATTCCCAACCTGCATTGCAGACCTTTATGGTCCCTTCTGGCTCTTCCTGCCAAGCTGGTGGGCAGGGGACTCGCCCTGAGCAGTGTGATCAACAGTCCAAGAATCCAGTCTTCTCCAATGCTTTGTCAAGCCCTGTTCGTCGAGGTCTCCAGTTCTATCACATGCAGGGAGGTTATTTCCAGAATGGTGGTTTGCCTTCTGGAACTGGGAGCCGGAGTAATGAGCCCAACTTTCTTCAGCTGCAAAACAGGGATTCTAATCCTCCAGGCTCCAATGATTCTACAATGGACATGCATGCAGACTGAAACTTACCAGGTAGGACTTCACAAGCTTCTTTCCTTAATCGCTAGTTTGTTTGTTGCTCTTGTCAGAAGGAAAACGGAGATGCTTTACAATGCAAAAGAAACTCAAACATGTGGGTGACCCTCTTAAAGCTTGGCGGCGAGGAGTACAATGTGGTGTTGCGTTCTCATGGAGCAAACAAAAATCCAATGCGACAAGCACCTTTTTGTTATGATTTATCGTCACATGTAAATCCTTGGAGTGAATCAATTGTCAGAACTTATACGTGGGCATTTCGTTTGTGATCCTTGGTAATCTCTATACTATCGTGTTTCTTAGGTCTCGTTTTTTCTGTTTGGAAGGACAGTGTATGTAAATTATTCAGGTCCTATGTATCTGCGTATGTATAACGGATTCTGGTTTTGAAGCAAAACAAGTCCTGCAAGTGGAAAAAAAAAAAAAAAAAAAAAGAAAGGGTAGATCGATCGTGCTTCACAGACACCATTGTCTGTAATTAAATGAGTCTACACAACTTGCCTTCCAGCAATATAGAATCCTATGCGACTCCTTCTTAACCCATATAATGCCTGGAAAAATGACTGATTTCCCTCGCTATATTTGACGAAGCCTTCGCTCGCTGGCTCGACCCCACAAATCCTCCGGTCAATCTTAATTTAAAAAATAAATCATAATAGGGAATATTTTCTCAGTCCTAAGGAATTTATTTTTTAAAAAAATTAATTATAAATTACGGTTTTCTAATACTGTTTCGAGCTATGCTCACAAATGAAATTAGCATTCTCGGTTGGTAATTAGCAGCATTCTATAATTTTATGCTGTGATTAGCTGGTGGTAAACAATTTTTCAGTTCTACCTCTTCAATTATTGTGTGGTCTTATGAATGTCAAACTTTTTTACTACTGTTTCTTCACATTAAAATTTAATTAAAAATAAATTACGACTACTTTTGTTTGGTTGGTGTTTTTTCTCCACTCCACTAATCATGATTAGCAGAAACTAACTTTTGGCTTGAAAATCAGTGATTATATTGTCTCAGGCTTTTAACACTTCAATTAATTACTTTTGCTTCCAATCAATTCCAATTTCCGAGCGAAGCAGATTGTAATTATTGTGTCCACATACCCCTCCAAAAAAAAAAAAAAAGTCAAAAAAATGAAATATTATGACGTCCTAATTTATTTAATACACCGTCTTAAAATAAGTATAAAATAGTTTTACTAATTTTAATTATTTTATATTTAATATGTATATATATATATATAATCATCATCTTTTATTTTTCTTTTTCTTTTTTCAAAAAGAATTTTAATTCCATTAAAAAAACTCATTACATAATTCTAAACTACGCTGTTCAAATTAAAAACCTTTTAATTAATTAAAAGTAATCCATAATTTGACTGACTAATTAAGATGGATTATTAAAGCAAAAGCCTACACCCAAATAAAAACCAAGCTCTCAATTACGTGCCACCCTTATGTAATTACACATATATTTTATATAACATAATGTTTTTTTATTATTATTTAATAAAGATACGTGTGTATCAATTTGGAATATGTAAATCAGTGATATTTTATTTGCGAATTATATGTATATAATACGATAGCGTGAAATTATAATAAATATATAAAAAAAAAAAAGGCACGAAAATAAATATGGGGCCCATGGCTATCATGCGCCGTGGAGTCACTATCTCTATCCTTACTTTAAATAATTCCGTCCAGAAGTAAACCCAATCTTTTTTGCCCTTTTTATTTCATTTAATATTTTTTCGTTTCTTACTCTCTCTCTCTCTCTCTCTCACTCTCAATTCCTCGCCGATTATTTCGCGCAAAAGTTGCGATCTAGGATGCCGGCGCCGCCGTTCTAGTCGCCGTATTTTCCTAGCTCAGATCCGTCAGGTGAATTTAGACTTTTTTCTTTTCCAGTTTGATCTGACTTCTCTGTTTGATCCCGAGAAAAGTTTGAGGAAAATATGACGGAAGAGTGAGAACTCTCTGAATTAAACATTCTCTTTGTTGCTGTAGTTTATCGGTGCTTTTCTGCGTGTTTTTGTTTTTGTTTTTTTTAGCTTTTAAATTCCATGTTGCGTTTTTGTGTGCTTTGCTTAGCAATCAAACAGAGGACATGTTTGCAGCCTTTTGATTTCTTACTTTTCCTGATTTGTTGTTAGCAGATCTTTAATGTTGTTCCTGTCTATTATTGTTACTGATTTACTAGTAAATTAGTTGCTGATAGTTTGTTTTAGGGGGACTACGACTTTCTACTTAAAGAAATCATGACAATGCCCTGTAAGAAAATTTTCCGCTAGATTGGCCTAAGAAATTCGTACTTTGTATATAAACTTTGAAAAACAGTCTTTTTCCTTTTTTTTTTTTTTTGAGAAAATGATCTTTTGTTTCCTAATTCTTCTAATGAAATCTTTAAGCGTAGTCTCCCTCGCTTTCTACTTGTTTCTCCTTCTCATTCTCTCTTTATACTCGTGTTCTTTTGTTTTTCACGTTTAGGATTATTTTTGTTTTTTGTTTTTTCCTTTTTATTTTCTTCCTTCATTGAGTTGCATTTCTTCTGCGCATGTTTGTGTGTGTGTGTGTGTGTGCCAGAAAGAGAACATGTTTAATGACTTACCTACACGTAAGGACTAAAAATTCGGTACAAGGGTTTTGTATTTTGTTTAGCAAGACAGGATGTTTACGCAAACGCTTGAAGGTAAATCCTTATGTGTGTCTCTTTCCATGTCTCATGCTCTTATTCTAGGATTGCTCATATCTCCACTATAATCCATGGAGATTTTGATGCTAATAACTAATCTCTTACATCCTCAACCATTGGAATATTCCATTTTGATTCATTTGCATTAGTGCCACCTCTCTTCCACGTGCCTTTGGAAATGCGATGATTTGACCGAATTAAGGTACAGGTGGATGAAGGCTTGTGGCTTAAATTATCGTTGAGGGCGGGAAGGTGCATAGAAATAATTGTTGGATGGCCAGATGAACAGGACTGATGTTATTTGCAGTGGAAGGAGGAGGGTTCTTTTCTTCATCAGCATCTGGATATAGCAAGGGCCTGACCCTTCTTCTTTTGGGTCAGAAGGACGAGGACAAACCCATGAGAGTTACTCCGTGGAATCAGTACCAGTTGGTGGACCAAGAAACTGAAGCTGACCTCCAGCTGGCTTCCATTAAGAACCGGATTTCCCGCGGGTGTGCCTCCTTTGTCTGCTTTGGTCGCACTTCCGCAGGACTTGATGCTCCATCTCCTCTTAAAGTAGGCCCTGCTCAACAGCAGGATTCCTTGCCAGGGTCACTTGTGTCTGATAAGGGCAAGAAAAATGCAATTGATCTCGATGATAATAGTGAAGATGCAAAGAAGGTTGCTCTGAAAAGTAGCTTGAGAAAGTCATTAAATAGCAATTCAGCTCCTGTTGAAGGTGCTAAGGAACTCGAGGCATTAAATGAGAAGGGTAGTACCATACCTGGTCATATGGAAAGAAGGAAAGTGCAGTGGACGGATGCTTGTGGGAGTGAGCTCGTTGAAATCAGAGAATTTGAGCCCAGGTATGATACTACTTAACAGACTTCAGATAATTAGTACATGATGACCATCCTTAAGTTTTATTTATATTTCTAATGTGCAACTATGTATAGGGTTCTGAATTCTCTCTGTATGCATGTTAACAAGCTTGACTATTATGTTAAATATGGGCATGTTCTACATTGTAGACACCTAGGGAAATCTATCATTGGATAACCTTAGAAGAAGCGGAATCATAGTCAATGGCTGCTAGTGTCTATGCGAGAATGAATCCCCCCCAGTCACGTTCGCATTTGTTGCTCATTGTGGGTTCAGCCCACAGTCTCTGGAACATTTCTTGGGTGGCTTAGTGGCCGATGAAATTTGGACTTGGATGGCATTCATGCTAGCAAGAAAAGAAAGAAGTTAGTTTCCCTTATTCGTTTGTCACTATCTGGGTCTTTTATTGAAGGAAAGGACCAATAAAGTTTCTGGGGACACTATCTCTTCTTTTGATAGCGTTAGATGGAGATCATTGGTTCTAGACCTTGAATTTTTTTTTTAGAGGTCACTATCTTCTATGTGGGGAGGATCTAAAGAACCTTAATAATATTTTCTTTTCTGATGGAAAGATATAATTCTCTTGAAAGCAGCAGAACTCCTTCTGTTCCCTGTTTATAGATAATATCATCCTTTTCCTTCCAAAAAACAAAAGAAAGAGAAAATATTGTTGGAACTATTCGTAGTTTCATGCTTCCCAGAAGCTAGTCTTATTGAGATCGTTTGATAAACAAATGGTGTTCTATCACTTGACCTGGAGCCCACATCACTCTTTTTAACAAATATTCTGATTATAGAATATCTTCTATTTAAATCATTTGGTAAGAGGTTTAAACTTTCCAGTTCTGGTGATTCAAAACTAGTTGGAAGGTCAGTCTGATTCATATCTTCTCATGGTGGGTGATGTAGAGTAATATCTGCATTTACTACTCATTGTATCAGGTTTCTAGTCTTTGAAAAAAGGACAACGTAATGATGAGCTACCAGTGAAGGAACCAGAAGTTTGGCACATTCTCTTACTAAGTCCATGTTGCGATTAGGTCAAACTAAATCTTAGAATGACTGTTAGTGAAAAGATTTGTTATATTGGAGCCATTATCTTGTGGACTAGTCTAAAGTTTTGGCTGCATAAAATTTGATGAGATGAAGGCTAAAGTTAGAGTTGGAAGCTTAAAGATCTAGATTTTGTGCTAGCTTCTTTTCTGGATTTGTTGACTATTCATTGTAATCACTATTAGCCTTGTCTGTAGACATTCTATTTAGTTTTGCTTCGCAATGAATGCAACTAGTTGAATTGATCCATGTCAAAGTAGCCTACACTTTGCATACTGATTTTATATCCTGTTGCTGTGTCTTTCTCATTTCTCTTCTTCAATTTGGAAATATAAATGTTGTCCAAGACAAGTACATGCCTCGAAAGAAGGAATAGATTGGCTACATTTATTTGTTGTCATTGTTGAACAAAATAGTCTATTTAAATCATAAATTGGTAAGAGGTTGTAAACAGTGAGATCCGATCTCATAATATAAATATATTTGGACCCGGCATCATTTGCATATATCGATGTTGGTCTAAAGTCAGACTTAGCTCTTGTGAACACCTTGGCTATATAGTATATCCTATATTCACGTGATTGTAATTTGTGTCATCTGTGTCATTAATATATATCTACACCTTGACTGTAAGTCCGTTTTATTTTGTCTTATCCTGTTCAAAATTGGAGCTCATCATCTTCTCAGCAAAGAAAAAATGTCAGAGCTCATTCAACTGCCATGTATATCTTCCTAGCTAGTTTCAGTATGATCCTGCATGTTATTATTGGCGACTGAGATTCACTGGACTGAACTCATTGTTGCATGATGTTTGTCCTTGTATCCTCATCCATGAATCTGTAAACGCTACTGAGTGATGATGGACTTACATGTTCCACATAGTGTTCATGACTTCTATTGACACTATTACCGGGTGATCTTTATTATCAGCCATTTTACAAATTGGAGCTCATCTTCATTGGTTGTTTGTTTTCCATAATCATTTGGTGTTTTGTGTATGTTGCTGATACTCTGATCAAATGGCAGTGAAACGAGTCGCTCTGATGATGAATTCGAAAATGGAACAGAAAGAAGTTGCTCCTGTACAATTATGTAGTGCGTCTTTCGACCAAAGCATTGTGAGGACTTGACTTCTAAAATGAATTGCTAGATCAGGTAATCTACTGCTAAGAAGCATTTTTGCTTGTTTTGACCGGGTTCAAGTAATTCTCTGGGCGAAAGAAGCAAGAATTGTGGCATTCTACACAGAATCCAACCATGTTGAGAAGCTTTTTATTTGGACAAGAGTCTCTGCTGGGTGACTGGTGATTTCTATCCACGTTACATTGTTGGAGATTTCAATTTTGGTCACTCTGGGTTTTGTCATATTACAATTCTTTGTTATGGTGCTTGACTACATTGTCCATTGTTTCCTGGTAATTATTGTGTTATATTTCTTTTTTCTTCCCTTGGTGGTCCATAATTCTTGCACTTATCCTTCTCAGCTTGATTTTTTGTTAAAAGTTTATTACACGAGGTTTGTATTTTCGGTTCCCCCATAGATTGCAGTGTTAATACAGGCAACGTAGTATGCTTTTACAAGTAGTTCTGACTTCTGATTTGTTTTTGTTAAAGTTTGATTTCATTATGTTATTGAGCTGAGATGAAGATCTGTGTTGGATTTATAATTATTAATATTATAACTTCAATGTGAAATATAATAATTTTTGAGACCCAAAATATTACTATTGAGTCCTAAGGATTAGAAAATAGATTTTCAATTTCTGAAGTAGACAATTATAGATGCAGTAGACTTGTAATTATACTGAAATACATTCCGAATATCCTCATTATTATTATTATTATTTTTTTACTTATTATTAGCTCTTTGCCAATTAATTGGTTCCAAAATGACAAAATGTCAATAATGCAAAAGCTATTTATTTCAAAACTCTTATGTGGATTGACACAGGCAAGATATTTACATGATGGAACGATGTAATGACATTTTCTAGAGGAATATAAGCATTTAAAGGCTGTTAATGAAAACTTAGCACACACACGTACATATATACATGCCTATATGTGTATGTACGTGCATGCGAACGATATGAGTGGAGTTACAGAAGCTGAGAAGACGGATGTTTGTGTGTATTTGACATTCAACCTTCTATGTATTTGTCAATGGTAGCAGACAAGGTAGATTTTGGTACAGCACCAATGACACTCTCTTTCTTTTCTCCATTCTTGAAGAAGAGAACAGTTGGTATGCTCCTGATTCCATATTTAGCAGCAATATTTGGGCTCTCGTCTGTGTTGACTTTGTAACAAGAAATCTTCCCAGCGTACTCTTTGGCTAATTCATCAATTGCAGGTGCAATTATCCTGCACGGTCCACACCATGGTGCCCAAAACTCCACTAGAACTGGCCTTTTATTTGCAATCACATTACCCTCCCAACCTGAATCTGTCAAACTTTCAACTGCCAATTTCACCATACCCAAAATCAGTTTTCTAATTATCATCTTAAAGCAAGAGGGTGTTTTTCTAGCTTACCTTGATCTACTGCTTCGCGGGCTTTGCAGACAATCCGGGTTTTCGGGGTTCTGCTCTCGAATGAATAACCAAAAGATAAAGATGAAGACGAAGACGAAGACGAAGACGAGGGGAAGGTTAGACTAGATTTCTTGAAGCTTTTACATGTGGGAAAATGAAACTTTTGAAGGGAATAAAACGGATGGTAAGCTCTGGGGGTGCTGCTGCACATTGTGCTTATTTGAAAGCAGTTCTCCAAAGCCATTTTTCTCTCTGTTTAAATTTTTTGAGGAGGAAAATTTCTGTTTACGACTTGAAAGAGTTTTAAGATGGTGGGTGAGGCAGAGAGAAAATAGTTTTGTTATGCAATGGTCTGTCTTGATTTTTAGTTCACTAGTGGATATATCCTTGGAAAATTAAACGTGAGGTCCTTAGAATGCACAAATTCTTGTGGATATAACAATTTATTCAGTTACCCTTTTAATTGGAGAAAAAAGAAAACTGGAAATGTCCATGTCCCGGGAATGATTAATAATTTCTTTTTAAAGCGTTGGTGACCTGAAATTCCTTCACCATAAACTTCTCATTCACTAACAGGGTTTGGATATACACTTGTTTGTCCCCAGTGTCTAAATGCAGAGGACCTACAATTGTTTAAACACACACACACAAACACATGCATACATTACAAGTTATTAATACAAAATTTTACAAGTCATTACTTTATTTTTAATTCTTAATGTTAATAAGTTCATGTCATCTACATAAAAACAGTCCAAGATAATTAGTATACAGGCACAAAACTAGATGGCCAGGTACTAAGCTGCCCAAAAAATTACAATGTTTAAATAATAACCAACTCAAACAACATGGAACCACAAAAAATAAGAAGGTTCTTATAATATGGCATAAAACTGGTATACAGGCAACAGTGGGTTAAAGGAGCTTATGGGCAACATCCATTGATGCTGTGCAAGAGCTCTCATAGGCATGAGAGAGAGATAGATAGAGAGAGAGAGAGAGAGAGAGAGAGAGAGAAAGAGAGAGAGAGGGAGAACTAAAAATACACATGAACTAAAGGCTCCATATATGCAAACCAGCCCTTTAATTTCACTCTTCAACTCTAAAAGCAGAAAGAAAAGCTGCCTAATTGAATCTTTAAATGAGGGATGTAAAACAAGAGAACAAAATGAAGCAACTCAAAGATGATTTAACATTTCATTGATAGAAAACTATGCTATATGTTTTACTTTCCTGAAATTAGTACAAAGTTGGGCCCTGAAGCTATTTTATGGCGTGGGTACCACGATCTATGCACAGTGACAGGGCTAGAGGCATTTCTATTCTGCCCATTCTCATGCCGAACAACTAGCAACATCTTC